GAATATTTTGTGTTAATGTTATGAAATGTTTTTTCATAAATGATGCGGTAAGCAGGAGGACAGAATTACGTCTAAACTGACGCCGTTTTGCATTTCTATAGGTTGTAGATACGAGCATGGTTTTATATAGTATCACGTTTAATCGTGTTTTATGCTGTTTGCCAAGACTTGATAAGTCGCTCGTAAAACACAGGAGGTATGGAAACTAAGAACACCATATGTGGTCAATTGTACAGCTAATATAACACAACACATTAGTTGCATTTCCTTTAACTGGTGGATTATGGATATATAGTTGCTGATCGACAGCTGGAACACAAACTACCAAATACAAACAAATAATTCAGATCCAGTCGTCATGACTCCACTCCGGAAGGATTCCCTGATCATTTCTTAGTTTCTCATCAAGGGGGGTCTCCTGTCTCCGGTGCAAACACACTGCCTGAGGAAGGTTAGGCTGTGTATTTATTTTGTCATGAACCTTTTTCGGACCACTTATTTATTTATTTTGGTAACGATCCGACCTCCATGCTGCTACTCTGGTTCAAACTGCATCCACCAAACAATATGATTTATCTCGACCTCCCCAAAATAACCGAAATCTGACACCCGTGTGAGATGACTGTTTTAGCCGTTCTGTCGTCATTTCCTGCGATCTTCTTCATGCAGTCAGTCAAAATGAATGAATGAATGGGCGTTTCTTTGACTATTTATAGGCAAATATGGGCGTTACGTGAAGCCCGCAAAAGCTGCGCCGCATTTCAAGTTGATAGTCATTTATAAAGGGAAACCGGCGTAGGACGTGCCGCACGCAAGTCCTACGCCGGTACGCAGTGTTTTATAAATCGGAAAATGTCAGTGCGTATTGATTTGCTTTGTCCTACGTAAGCAACCTTCACACGTGAATCCTACGCAAGGCTTTATAAATGAGGCCCCTGGTGACTTAAAATCAATGCAGTGTTGTATTACTACACTGGACAAGTAGGACACACCTCTTTTATTAGATTTGCTTTTATTTATATGCATATTTGTATGATTGTTCATCATTTTAACAGCACACAAAATGAGTGCCTAGTGTGAGATGACTAGTTAAAGTAGGGGGGAGAGAGAGGGACTGGTTTAACCTTACAAGGTTGTTATCACTACCATACATTCCCTTACATTTGTGGTGCCAATGCAAGCATTTCTTTATTATCTTCAATCTTTGTTTCTGTGGTTCCAGGGTCCACCGGGTCCAGTCTTGGGTTAGAGTCTCCGGAGCAGAGAAGCTGTGATCCAGAGCCGCGGTCCCGCTCCAAGGAGCCCGATTCCCCCCTGAACCAGCAGGGTGTTTCTGTGGAGAGGGAGACGTGCCCCCTGCAAAATTGGAAACCTGCTGATGCCTTGGAGCCCACACTGAAGCCGGACCCTCAGACGAAGGATGCCTCACCCCTTCCTAGTTACTCTTCCTCGGCCCCTAACATTCAAATTGAAGTCCCTCTGCTGAGCGAGGAGCCCCAGGCCCTGCCTCTGATTAAAAGTGAGGCTGGGGACCACACACTGAGTGAACCTGAGTCTCTGCAGGAGCAGGCAGCTGTCAGGAGCAGGACGGTGTTGGTGCGTGTGGACAGAGAGGAGGCTCACAGAAACAGGGAGTGCTCTCCGGAGAGACTCGCAGGAGATGAAGGTGCAGCTGCGGGTTACATCCCTGAGCTCGTGCACCGCTGCCCCCGCTGCGGCGAGGCGTTTGGCCATGCCGGCAGCCTGCGACTGCACCTGGAGCAGAAGAGGAAGACCTACGCCTGCGACTGGTGTTGCAAGTCCTTCGCTCAGTCGGCCGACCTGCGGCGCCACCTGCGCACGCACACGGGGGAGCGGCCGCACCGCTGCACCTTCTGCTCCAAGAGCTTCAGCCAGAGGGGGAACCTGCGGCGCCACCTGCGCATCCACACGGGGGAGCGGCCGTACAGCTGCCCCTACTGCTGCCGCACCTTCAGCGACGGAGACACCATGAAGAAGCACAAGCGCACGCACTCGGGGGAGAAACCGTACAGCTGCGAGCAATGCTCCAAATCCTTTAGCAGCGCCAGTGGGCTGCATATACACTTAAAGAAGGACATGTGCTACGCGGCTAACACCTGATGGGCAGCTACAGCAAAGACATGCACATATGCATAGAGTGCTGCAGGGATGAGACCTTAATCCCTGAATTTAGTGAGCATTCTATGACTTCCTGTTCTCATTTATTTCTAAAAAGATTAATTTAAATGTTCACCTTGCCGTGGTCCATAATGCTGCATACATAAACACAGTTAGATGAATTCCCGTGGAAGGCTTTCATGTGCCTTAAAAACAGCCGTGCTAACAAGTTGCTAAATGGGACGACTATCATCACGCCGAACATTAGCAGCCTTTAGCTTAGCGACGGTGACTTGAAGTCATGTGACCGTACTGTAGTTCCTCTATAGCCTAACATTAGCTTTTTACTTCTGGAGATTGTATTTACGCTTTTAAAATCGTAAACATGTTAATACGTGGATATTATCCTGCTTAACAAAATGTGTAAGTATCAATAACATTTGTTAGTCACAGATTTAATTTTTTGCATTGTCTTTTTGTGAAGAGAACCAGGCAGATGCTAACTTCAGCGTCAGACTACAAAAATACATGAATCCTGCAATTCTCTATATATATTTATTCTAAGTAAAGGACGTAAGCATTACAAGCCTGTCGGATATATAAAATGGTGGATCTCTAAATATATATATTTATCTATTATTGGATTTATAACATATTTATATTGATAATTAAAATCTGCCAAGTAACTAACTCATCAATAACAACTACAACATTTTTAAATAAAATAATGAATAGAAGAATAAAACTGACCCTCACATTTTGCATCAAAAAGTAAATAATCAAAGAATTGCCAGTTAATTATCTTTTACGTTGTTATTTAAATTATAAAATAGCAAATGAAGAACATATTTGAGTGAAGTACACATACCTGTAAATTGAATATGTAGCCTCTATATATCTATCCTGCTGGCTTGTGATGCACCGGATGATGAAATGAATTTTACATTCCTGTCTTTACTTTTCCTCTGATTCCTCCTGCTAACGGTCTTTAATGCACTTTTTTTGGTTTTACTCTGAAAGGAACAGGAAGAAGTCTATAGGCAGCTACACAGTCGCACTTATGTCATCCCTGCATTATTATGTATTTATTTATATTTCTTAAGTTGGGACCCTCCAGTGTAACACCACACTAAAATATAAAAATATTATTTATTTCCTTTTCTTTTTATCAATGTATAAACTATGTCTGATCTCACGCCACAATATTTTTTTTTGGAGATTGTGATTGGAAATGCAGATATGATGTTAGATAGTAGATTTGTGCTATTTCACAGAAAAACCAGAAAACGTGTGTTAGCAGATACAGTTATGTGTGTAGATCTTTACTGTGGGATTATTAGTATTTTGTATTGAGGTAAAAATTATCTTTTTTTAGAAAAATAAATGTTCAGTCAAACTGTTCTCGAAAAAGTTTATTTCTAATAAAGTTGTACATTTAGAGTCGTGCACACTGACCCCTTTACCTTATTGACTTTTGATGCTCTCACTCACTTAAGGTTCAGTACTGATCATTTGTATTTAATACATCATCAATTTTTCCTCCTGTCTATTATTTTGTTCTCCAGCACACATTTTTTTTGTCTTGTTTTTTTTCTCCCAAAAATTAAACCAAACGTTCTACATTTTCAAGTTTCAGAAAGAAAAATAAATTATTAATATTGCAGATTTAAAATACAAAAACTAAATAAGGACTGCTTCAAGGAGAAAATAAAGTTGAATTAATTAAAGTCTCAAATTGTTTTAAAAAATAAATTCTTACTTGGAAACGGCTTTTGCTGTGAGAAATGTATTTCCTGTCTAGTACATATTACAATACATTTCCCCCAAAATATATATAAAACATTGTAATAAAAGACCCAAATACTCTACTTTGACTTATTCAATGACTTTCTGCAGCAGACCTTTGGTGAAGAGAGACGCCTTACAAAAGCTGCACCAGGATGAATGGCCTGAAAAGATCTGGACACAAGAATAAAATGAAACAAAAAAAAAGATATAAATGTATATTTTAAATGTGTTTTTCTATTTAAACAGTATCGACAAATGGCACAGACATAAAGCAGAAATTAAAGTTCATATGAAAAGCTGTATTTTGTTCTCCTGTCATTATTAATTGAAACATATATGCTTTTTGCTACAAGTTTGAACGAAATAGCTGCTTTTGTTGAACCTTTTTTTTGGTGCAGCTGCAGTGCTCCTCTCCGGCTGCAGGGGGCAGCAGTGACACACTACACTGTGGCTGTGTTGCATTCCAAATGTCTTTTATTGATTGTACATAAAACACCTGATAGAAATGTAAGAACAACTTTAAAGCACAAGATCATTGGAAACAACAGTTCTACGATATGTATACTCATATAGATATCGTATAGAAAGCCACACTTGTACATTCATACAGTCGTGCATAAAAGAAGAAGAACACTGTAAACAGAAGAATCCCAACATGTACCTGAATGCCTCATCATGTCTCAACATTTGGAAAACAGGCAGCATGAGTATAGAGATATAAATATCAACATATATCATCATGCAACACCAAGGAAGAACCACTTTATTCATAAATCATCAGCATCATGGCAACAAAAGGATGCACAACGTCTGTTTTCACTCTTTAGAGGAGGAATATGAAGGAAACTCAGATGATATATCAGGTTTAGACCCAAATGAGCAACATGACACCTGCACAGGTTTAAATTGATGCTGCAGATGAGAAATATTGTATATGTTTATGTTGGCTACGCCCCTGCCTCAAAACAGCTATCATAAAATCATGTTTAGCAAAGGTAACTTGGCAAATAAAATAAAAATGTGAATTGATAAAAATTGTTTTACTCATACACTTTTTACCATAACATGCAATAGAACTTTATATTACTTTCCCCATGCAATGTGCATTGGTGTTAAAAAAAAGCATATTTACGTATTACTTTTTCAATATCATTTGCATTGGTGAACAAATAACTCTTTTAAATATTTTACTGAATTTAATGTAAAATGAGCTTTTTACATCATGTGCATTGATGTTAATATATATTGATGTTTAATGCTTTATAAAACATATCTTACTTTTAATGTAAGTCTATTGGGCCCTGGTGTACTTAAGTAAACATAGTTCTACTTAGGTGAGGAAATACACGTTATTAGTAAAATCCTGCATTCACCGTCTTACTTAAAAGTACAAATGTACCAGCATCAACGTATACTTAGTAAAAGTACTCATTATACAGATCATGTATATATTTCACAGTGTTCAATTTAAAAAAGGAGTCAGTTGGAAAACATTTTCATGTTCTTCTAAAAACATGGTTGTGCTTTAATATTTTTTGAAGTCAAGTACTTTTACTTTAGTAAGATTATGAATGTAGGATGTTAACTTTTAACAGAGTATTTTTACAACAAAGTAGCCTATTGCTTCTTTTAACTGGTGTAAATGTACAGAAGTACCGTACCTAAGTACACATTCTAAATTGTCTGCTACTTTATACTCCACCACTTGTATTTAATAACTGTTGTTCCCAGTTAGTTGGCAGATTACTTGCAGAATGAATGACCAGATTTGATAAGGTCTGGGTGCTATAGAATGGTGCAGAAACGAGTCCTCAAACCCAGAGAAGACATATCATTTTACCACTGGTTCCCTTGTCTTGGAGTAAACGGTTATTTTAACGTGTTTGTGGTTATATGCCTGAAATAAGGTCTGTGGTTAAAACAAGAGTTTTTCATGATTTGTTCTACGACATAAAATACATCAGTAATCAGCCTACTCAAGCAGTAATGTTCGTTAACAGCCTAGCGTTAGCTTTTTACTTCTGCCGATTGCATTTATGCTTCGAAAATCACAAAGTGGTGTTAATGTGGAGATTTCCATGCTAAACAAAACGTGTTAAGTAGGCTATCATGAATGTGTGTTTGCCCCACAACTTATTTTCAGCAATATACCAATATCCGATGGGAAAATCCGATTGCTCTGTCTAGGGAACCCTTTGCAATGCCAACTTTCGGGTCAGTCTACACAAATACGCTGAATACACCATGAACATAAGGACTATAATAAAAGAAGTGTACTTGTTAAAACGGTTTGGCTCATTTGAAGCTAATGTTGCAGGATTCTTGCTGTTCTAGGTTTGTATCTTCATGTTTGGTTGCATTTATATGAAGTCGCTTTGGAAAAAAGCGTTGGCTCAATGAAATGTAATGTAAAGTTCAATCAAAGCTTTTTCTTAAACAAAACATGCATTCGAATTTCTGCAGCTGTGGTTTCTCTGAATGTGTGCGTCAGTGTCTGATCCTGTGATATCTGCTGCTGATGTTTATGGAGCTTCTTCTCACTAATGAAGGCACACCATCACTTCCTCTAATTTCCAGCGGCTTCCCGTGGTGAAGCTGCTGCAGAGCATGTCCCCCCCCCATGTTAGTCGTGGCTGAGGGTGCGGGGCAGCTCGTTGCTCAGGATGTGCCAGCGCTCCACCCTCCGGCCCGGGCTCTTCAGGCAGTCGGTCCAGTGACGGAGGCCGTCGCCCTGCGAGTGTCCGCTCAGACACACCCCACCTGCACACAGAGGGAGGAGTGTTGGTGTCAGGAAACACTCGTCTGCAGTTTCACAGGACAGCTGAATATTTATTACAGCCAGTGGGGGAAGGTTACCAACTTCATTTCATTAATCAAATAAAAAAATATTATTATTTTAAAAAATATTAAAAAATATATTGTTTTACATTTAAAAATAATCTTTAAATATATAATATATGATATATATATGATATTACCCTAAAGTTTAACTCAATCTTTCCTTCAATTTGTTATTTTCTTTTATAAATGTTTTAATTGATGTAGAAATGTAATATCTAGTTATTGTATATCATTTATAGTTTCTAATTACATGATAGCTTTAATCTTTGCCTTTATTTTAGAAGTCAACAGTCATTGGTGGTAAATAACTCAATGTATTACTTTAAAAACTTTATAATCTCTTTTGTCTCACTTCTTAAAAGTTGCAAAACTCTTCTTACTTTTATTACATTTTAAATAATGTATTCAGCTTTTTTATTTCCATTCTTTCTTTTATTGTTTGTTGTCGTTAAAAATTTATAAATATGGCAAGATGAAAAATAAGTGACAAGTTGTAATTTAAATAATTGCAATAAAAAATGCCACAAAAATATAATGAAAGATTTCCCTTTTGGAACCAACTTCCATCCAAATCAATAATGCCAAACTTTCATTCGTTTCTCAAAAAATAATTCATCCAGTTATGCATTTAATAAGTGTTATTAATAATGGATGTCAAAAGTCTAAGTCACACCTTTTCAGTCAATATTCTTTCTGTAGTCTGTCACTTCAAACTTACTTCAGGAGACCAAACAGTGACCAAGCAGGTTCAATTCACCCTGAACTGAAATGATCAGCCCCTCCAGAGCTCTTTATTCCCATCATTAACAAGAATATTATGATGATAATAAACAGACACTGAGGAGCAGATTGTAACATAGTAAACATTGAAATGCTTCGACTGAACAGCTTTGCTGACACTAACGAGCCAGGTGTGAGAGGTTTATGAATATTTACAGATCTGTTTTGTGATCATTTCTTCAGACGTTCAGCACTCTTGCATGAAAACATTTTGTTGTTCTCAAAGAGGCCTCCTGGTTCAGAGGGAGTTTCCCTACATTCCTGTGACGGTCGGGGTCTCACCTATGAAGTCGTTGGAGCGTCCCAGGTCGTAGTCCCACACCGTCACCTCCAGCGACTTGTTGGAGAGCTCAGACAGCGAGATCTCGTAGAAAAACTCCTGCAGGGAGAGGCAGATTTAAAAACACCATGAGGTCAACCATAAGACAATGTGTGGTGATATTCTACACATCTGTATACACGTTTATTGTTATTGTCATATATCTTAGAACGACCTGCCTGAGGAGATCAGGGTTACAAAATCTGTCAGCTCTTTTAAGTCGCTTATTAAAAACTCAAATGTGATTTGACTTTTAGTCTCATTTTATTTTTCATTTATTCTTGATCCATGTATTTTTGGTTTATTATCTTCTATGTGTTTTACGTGTGTATGTTATATAACATATTTTTATGCATGTGAAAGCAATTGGTAACTATGTTTTGAAAGGTGCTATATGCATAACATTTATCATTGTTATTATTATTATTATTAGTAGTAGTAGTAGTAGTAGTAGTAGTGAATGTAATCTTTCTGGATGAAATGTTGTCATGGTTCAGGTGGAAATTGAATGTAGAACCAAATTTTAAAAAGTAATTAGTAACATAAGTATGAGGGCGGTGGTGGTCACCAGTTCGAGTCCCGGAAAGACCAAGTGCTACCGAGGTGTCCCTGAGCAAGGCACCGTTCCCTACACTGCTCCCGGGCGCCGTACATAATGGCAGCCCACTGCTCCTAACACTAGGATGGGTCAAATGCAGAATGTAAATGTCCCCTCTGTGGGACTATTAAGGGTATATAAATAAATAAATAAATACAAATAAAAGTTATTAGCCCCTTCCCCTGTGAATATTTTCTATCCAGAATTATTCAGAAGATCATATTATAAAAGGCAACATATAAAGTTTATGCTCTTTCATGACCATTGGCTTTCAGACAAGAGTACCAGCTTCAAATGAATGATTTCCTAATGGAGTTTGGTGAACAGATGCTAAATCAGCGTGTGGCTCACACTGTTTCACTACATGTTCCTTCATTACCATGAACACACTGTCATTTATTTTGAGCACACACCCCATCCTACTGACAAATGTGGATTAATGCACCGCAGGAAATAGTCCCCAACAAATGTCCTCTATACAAAATACAAAACACACTGAACAGCTGCTTTATTTCACGAGTTTTAAACAACAGACCTGTAGATGTAAACCTCTTAAAGGGAACGATGGAGCAGTTCATTTTTTAACCAATCACAGGAGAAAAAGAGTTAAGGAGTTAAGAAATAATAGGCTTCTTGCACTTATCAGCTAGCTAGTGTATTCCGATGTTCATCTGTCTGTTGGGCAGCACTGGTTTATACAGCTCACAGTGATTACATATCTTGTAAGGGACATGGACGACTGTAAAGGAAATTTAAAAGTGTTTTCTGACATTTCTTCTCACAAGTCTTTGAGGGACAAACATCGGAGAGGTCTTGTGGTTTTAGAACCATATCATGCAGCGGTGCAGAAGGGAGGGGTCTTACCTCTTTGAATTCAGGGTTGAGGGTTTTTTTCATCACAGCTGTTTTGTGCTTGGATTTCTTCTGTATGTCGGGCTTCAGGTATCTTACAGCAGGAGCAGAGAAGAAGAAAAAGCACATCAGTTTGTTTTATATATTGTGTATTAAAGGTTCCCTAGTATCCTCTTTTTCAACAATATATTATAGATCTCAGATATATACAAAACATGTCTCTGAAGTGTTTGAAATGCCAAACAGCTCATTGTAGCATGCCATATACCCTTCTTTTTCAGCTTTACTTTTCAGTAGATTTAAATGCTAATGAGCTGCTGCTGCTGCTAGCCACGCCCCTCTGAGAGATGATTTGTAAAAAAACAAACAGTGGTGCTCTAGGAGGAGATTCAGGTGATAAGGTGGGCTGGTGTTTCCACGACCGCAGGATATGTCTTCCGACATGGTTGTTTAAGAAATGAGAAGCTACTCCCCACATCAGCTACGGTTCAATAACTTGTTGCCAGCGGAAACATATTATTCACTGAAATGAATTCAAAATTCAAATGAATTCAAATGGATTCTGCTCACATCAGAGCAGTGACTTGCAGATATTTTACTTTCATGAAAAGCTGAATATTTGCATCATATTTTGCTATGGGCCTAATGACGAAGCCACTAATTAGACACAAACACAGCGCAGTGGAAGTGATGCGGAGTGTTTCATTTAAGCACAGTTCCACTCCTCAGGAAACCCATCGGCTCCCTGCGGGATCTTTCTCATCCTGCAGTCTGATGAAATCATGTAACTTCATCATTAATACAACAGGAATTCATAATAAAGTCAGTTTTAGATCAGTGTACACACACACACACACACACACACACGGACACACACACACACACACACACACACACACACACACACACACACACACACACACACACACACACACACACACAACCCTCGACGACACACACACAAACACACACAC